CTTATGAAACCCTCGACAGCCTTTCTTTCGATTCCTTGAAAACATATTCGCCATCAGGATCTAGAATAAAGGAGATAGCACCCCTGCGAGTGCCTCTTTTTACGTTCCGAAGTGCATGGGGGAATCTGGCTTAGTGTAACACAATTTCTGCAATTTTACCAATAAACGAAAGTCTCTTTTACTACTCGCTGAAGCTGCGCAGATATGATACCATTTGTTCCCATGACCTAAAAGTTATAAATAAAATCACAACCAATGTGGGACGGCGCTCCTTCAGGAAGTCTCCAGGAATGCTGTGCAGCCTTCCCGAACTCGCTAAGGGGTGCCTGTTCTGTACATTAGTTTCGTGTAAAGTAAGCGCTCATGAATAACTTTTGCGACTTTGATGATGTGAACTTCTTCGCCTTCTGCAATGACAACAAACAAGCTCAAATTTTACCTGCACTGCTGGCCTGTTGTAAAATTTTGTCCTTTATCTGGATTTACTGTTCAGCCACAGCTCTTGGATTAGAACATCGGTTTTGTCTATTTACCGACGAATTAGGAGATTTGGCGGACGTGCTGGAGATAATTCTATAGAATTTTTATCCATTACTTAAGGATGTAAAACAGATGTTACTCTTATTTCCAATTAACCACTTTTCATTGTCGTAGTAATGAATATAATCTGCCTTTCTAATTTTAAGTTTGACAATTATTCACCTTCGGTCGTGCGGAACTTAATTAAAGTTTTTTTTCAGATTTTTTAGTTATAATGTTATTTTTTTCAAAGTAGACTACATTATATTGCCTTATTATAATTATATTCTATAAATTGTTTGGTTTGGAGTATAAAATACAAAACAGCTTTTCTGAAGCAATTTATGGTCGTTTATACTTCATTCTCGTATCGGTGTTCGTCAAACTGCCCTTCATCTAAGTTTGACTGTCCCAATTAGACATATTTGCAGTACGAAACACATAACATTTATGTTTCTTATCTCGTCTTTACTTAGCCGCCCGTCTCTCTACCCACAAACTGCTCTGTTCTGCAACTATTTCACTACTCGTCGTACATTTGTTCATACATTACACCTTGCAAATCTGGATTTTCTTGGAAAGGCTCATCCACTCCATCTTTAACTTTATTTTGCTTTACCGATTTTGAGGACTCTTATCCTCGTATATACGATTCCTGCTTATCCGATTGTAAAGACCCTTTTATTCGTATATACGCTTCCTGCTCTTGCAACTATGGAGACACTTGTGCTGGTGTACAAGCTTTTTGTTTTCTGATCGCTCTTCCTGCAGTTATCTTCACTTCTTATTCAAACAACTTAACGCTTACTATTACCCTTAATTCGAGTTTACAACGTCTTTCTTACAGCTCTTTACTTAGCAGCACTATAATTAGAGCTGGGCCTGCTGCACAATCTGACAGCTCTTATATACAAGACTGTTAATAAAACTTCGGCACTCGAGCATTCTGGCAACTACGAATACCGCTGACTTAATTCTGACCATTTATTTTCTATTTTTCTCTAACAGTTATGTGTTGAATACAATACTCGCGACAGACTGCAAACGACATCTGTCAAATATTAAAATACACACGTTCTTATGGACGGACCTATTTTGACAGCTACACCACTACACGACTGCAGGCCGACAGTTGTCGTTCTCGCTAACTTCAATTTAATCCTATATTTGCCAACGACAGTAGAGTTGACAGTAGAATAAAAGATAGAGAGATGAGGTGGAGTGGTGAAGCCACTAATATGTAAAATGTAAAATTACTCAAAGCTCTAACAAACCTGACGTTATTTTACAAATAAAAGCATAAAATATCTCTGTTATATCATTTATAATAACAATTGATAATTTAAAACAAATAAATTTACCTATTTACTTATTTTATTGCTTTAAAATTTCACTTTGAACAAAATATTAAAATTTCATCGAAGTGCACGGTATTAGTATGGCCGGCCATTGTTATGTTGCTGTCCTCTCACAAACATTCATGTAGTAGGATTCACAACGCCATTTTCAGTTCACTGTCGAGCTGCTGCAGTCTGTCGTGAGCATTGTGTTCATCACATTAATAACTGGCTTCGATTCGTCAAACACTGCTCTCCAACGAACCGAGCAATCTTTACCAGATGCTTAAAGAAACGAACAGCACTTCTGGAGCAACCCTAAATTATTGTTTCCTATATATAGTTACGGTCAAGGCGAATTCTATTCAGCATAGCGAAGTATGACCCTATATAAAATTTTAACGTATTATACCACTTTAATAAGGTATCCGCGTACTCTCCATTATGAATTCATTTTAATAGTATCTATTATTTTAGACTGGATTACAAATCGATCTTGTTCAATTGTAATAAATATTGTATATCATAAAAAGTGGAGTGAAATCCTACTTATTTATTTATAGAAGCAAACTGAATTTTGTTGAAGGAAGTATGTATGTCAAGGTGTGTCCCAACGTAAACAGGACTTAAAAAAAAACAGAACAAATAGTTTTTCGGCAAAATCAATTTATTTTATTCAAAATAGTCTCCTTCTGCTTCAATATAGCTTTTTTCACGGTACAAAAGCATGTCGAACAGGTGTGTTAGTTCGTTGGCCGGTGTAGGCCTTTTGAATGGCCTCTATGTCTACATAACGCAAATCCATTTTTCCGAAAAGGCAAAGTCGCACTAAGCAATTTTTGGTCGTCAGTCAATTTGTGCGGAACAATCCGTGCACACACCTTTCGTAAGCCCAAATGTTCGGTCAAAATGCAATAAATCGACGTTTTGGAGATGTTCAATTCCATTTCCATGAATTTAAATAATAATTTGGGTTGAGTTTTGATGAACTCACGCTCATTTTCGATGGAATATCCGGTGATCACGGATTTTAATTTGCCCACATGTTATCATCATTTATGTCTTCACGACCACTTTGAAATCGTTGAACCACTTGTTCACTCTGCTACGGGATAGGCAATCATGGTAATAAACTAGTTTCATCAATTGAAACGTTTCGGTAAAAGTTTTACCAATTTTAATACCAAATTTAATATTTAATAATTTGGTTCTTTGTTCGAAGCTCATTTTCGCAACGATACCACAAACATACTGACACTTAAAACGTAATAACTTCACTTCCAATCAATGAAATGTTATGAAATTCTCACTGGATAATCGGTAAAGATAGCAGAAACTAACGCATCAATAAGTATAGAAATAGAGATAGCGATAGCGCCACCATGGGGCGCTAGATTCAAAAGGTTCTGTTTACTTTGGAACGCACCTTGTAAGTTTGCTTAAAGATGTATCTTCTTTGCAACAGCGCGCCGATCGTTCTTCCTTCCGTTCTTCCTTTTCGCCGTTTTGCACCAGTTGGATATTCGAAGTGTAGCCACGTCCTTCTCCACCTGGTCGTTCTAACGGAGTTAAGGGCTGCCTTTTTCTGTTAGACTTGTAGTTTGGTCTTTGTTAGCTCTCAATTACCTACGAAATTATCTACAACTTTCAAAGTTATGACTGTCAACAGTGACGCTGGAGCCAATCGCGAGTGCGAAGTATATTTGATGATAGGAGATATTTCGTCTTGCCCTTGTTGACTACCAGACCCACTTGCTTCGACTCCTTATCCAGTCTGGAAAAAGCAGAACCAACAGCGCGATTGTTGAGGCCAATGATATCAATATCATCGGCGTACCCCATCAACTGTACACTCTTATAGAAGATTATACCTTTTTTATTTTCTCCAGGAGTAGATTGAAGAAGTCACACGATAGGGATCGCCTTGTCCGAAACCTCGTTTGGTATTGCTCGGAGAGGTCCTTCCTGATCCCGACTTAGCACCTTTTCGTACAGTCAAAAGCAGTTTTGAAATGGACGAAGAGATGGTGTGTGTCGATCCTCTTTCAAAGGTCTTTTCCAAGATTTGGTGTTTGGAAAATATCCCGAAAAGTGTTCCGAGGACTGGAAAAATCGTTGGCATAAATAAATTTCATCTTGTAAGGACTAGCGACAAAATCAGTATTGATGAATAATTAAATATTTTGCGTTTCATTTATAATTTCCAGGTACATAGTCACAAAACAAAACCTGAATCAAAATGAATATGTCGATAGTAAAAGAGAGTGTAGGTTTATATCCTGTACGAAATGTATACCAGGCAAGAGATGCCTGCCGGCGCGATTAGTACTCCATTTACTCAATCCAGACAACAAAAGTTCTGTTGGGGTTATTTAAGCAAATTTCGAAGGAGTTCCTGTGTCTTTGACTGTACACGAAACAAAGAGCCTGTGTACATACCAGAAACCAAGTAAAGTCAAAACAGTGGACTTTACCCTGTAAACTACATGGACTACCTGGAGAAAAACAAAGCGGTCTTTTCACTTGGCTACGTATAGGCCACACCCCCCCAACTTCACCAAGGTTAAACTCATGGATAAGGCCACAAGCTCCTGATTATTCAGCAATATCTCACAGATTTTTGCGAGGTGCTTGAAAAGCACTTAATATTTTTATACAAAACATCGCTTAAAAGAAATTCAGTATTTTTGTAAATTCATCTTTAAGAAAACCAATTTGATATTATATTAAGAATGTTAATTAATTTATACGCAATCCTTAATAGAGACCTTAAAAAGTTCAAGTTAAAAAAACATTTACTATATGACGCCACTTCTGATCAGGAGATGAACATTGTAATTAAATAATTTTAATGTCTATATTTATAACAATTTTAATTATATGTTCTTTGCTACTTTAGTGACGAGTTGCTCGAATTTACACTATTTTTTTTTTTTTTTTTTTTGATTTTCTGTTGTTGAAACTAATCTTTGTGTACTTAGTTTAACATTTTACAAGATAGCAATAATTTCAAAATAATATATTCTTATGTTGTACTTTATTCCCACACTATTTCCATATGACTAGAACTCATTATACTTAAATAACTATATTACGAAAAATTTGTTTTGCTTCTCAAGTTTAAAAATAATGATATTTTTACAGGTTAAGGATGCCGAAGATTGTTACAATACTGCTTTACGCTTGTGCCCAAATCATGCTGATTCCCTTAACAATTTAGCGAATATCAAGCGAGAGCAAGGATATATTGAAGAAGCCACTCGCTTGTATCTTAAAGCGCTTGAAGTATTTCCAGACTTTGCCGCTGCTCACTCCAATTTGGCTTCGGTATTGCAGCAACAAGGAAAATTAAAAGAGGCTTTAATGCATTATAAAGAAGCTATTCGTATCCAGCCAACTTTTGCGGATGCTTATTCTAATATGGGTAACACACTAAAAGAGCTACAGGATATTAATGGGGCGCTTCAATGTTATACACGTGCGATTCAAATAAATCCCGCATTTGCTGATGCTCATAGCAACCTTGCAAGTATACACAAAGATTCAGGCAATATTCCTGATGCTATACAGTCATATAGAACCGCCTTGAAATTAAAACCAGATTTTCCCGACGCCTATTGCAATTTAGCTCATTGTTTACAAATTGTATGTGACTGGACGGATTATGACGCTCGAATGAAGAAACTTATCAGCATTGTAGCAGATCAATTAGAAAAAAATCGTTTACCTTCTGTGCATCCACATCATTCAATGTTATATCCATTGTCACATGAATTCCGCAAGGCTATAGCAACACGACATGCAAACCTTTGCTTAGAAAAGATTCATGTCCTCCACAAACCCGCATACAAATTTTCACGGGAGTTGCCCACTGATGGTAGATTGCGCATTGGATATGTAAGCTCAGATTTCGGCAACCATCCTACCTCTCATTTAATGCAATCAATCCCAGGACTTCATGATAAATCCTGCGTTGAGATTTTCTGTTATGCTTTAAGTTCAGATGATGGGACAACATTTAGGTATAAGATCATACGCGAGGCTGAACATTTCGTGGATTTGTCTCAAATTCAGTGCAATGGTAAAGCTGCTGATCGCATTTATTCGGATGGAATTCATATATTAGTTAATATGAATGGATATACTAAAGGAGCTCGCAACGAAATATTTGCATTACGCCCCGCCCCAGTGCAAGTTATGTGGCTAGGATACCCGGGTACTAGTGGTGCAAGTTTTATGGATTATATCATTACCGATTGTGTTACCAGTCCTCCGGAACTTGCTTCACAATACAGTGAAAAGCTGGCATATATGCCTAATACATATTTCATAGGTGATCATAAGCAAATGTTTCCTCATCTCAAAGAACGTATTATAGTTTGCGATAAACAACAAACATGTGTAGCTGATAATATTGCCGTCATAAATGCAGCAGATTTATCACCGTTAGTAGAAAGTACCGACGTTAAAGAAGTGCGAGAGATAGTAAATGCCCAGAAACCTTTAGAAATTACACATAAAGTTGCAGAATTACCAAGTACTACCCAAATTGTATCTATGATTGCCTCCGGTCAAGTTCAAACATCTCTTAATGGGATTCTTGTTCAGAATGGGTTAGCTACTACCCAAACAAATAACAAAGCTGCTACTGGGGAAGAAGTACCACAAAACATTGTCATTACAACTCGCCGACAATATTTATTACCTGACGAAGCAATAGTATATTGCAACTTCAATCAGTTGTACAAGGTAGACCCACAAACTTTACAATCTTGGGTATCGATTTTGAAAAATGTGCCAAATTCAGTGCTATGGCTGTTGAGATTCCCTGCAGTTGGAGAACAGAATATAAAAAAATCTGTCGAAGCATATGGTGAGTTGGATATATACATACATTTATTTTATTGATGTTATGAATAAATGTTTTAGCCAGGGACCTTAACTGTTATGAGGAAATGGGCAAAAAAGTTTAAAATTATTTATACAAGTATATTTCCTCACAAAATAATCGTTATAAATCTTTATTTATTTTTTGCTTAGAAAGCAAGAGTTATTTAATAACGGTTATTTATTGCTTTTATAATAATGATAACTCACCGCATAACTGTTCTTCTTTGAGGAATAACTAACTGTTGTCAAATTACTTTTATTTACTAAGCGGAAAATAAAAATTATAATTTAACGATTATTTTGTGAAGAAAAAATAAAACTCAAATTGTAAGAGGTTTCTGTTTCTTCATCATATAAGTATATCCGACCCTTCCTTCATAATGATTTTATTAGTCAAAAATTATGCAATAACTCTTATTTTCTGTCCCTAGTTTTATGAGTAAATTTAAATAGCCGTTTAAATGATTGGACTTTTAAATAAGAGTTTAGACTGTGCTTAACATCAGACCTTTTTATAAGGTATATTGTTAGAATATTAAACATTCTATATAGATTAAGCGTATTCGCTTGCTCTTGCAAAACCATTGCACGGTGCAAGAATTGCATCTATTTCTTCTTGGTGCACCGGTACAACAGCAAACACACGCAGACAATTATTTGGAATGGCTGTAAAATATGTCAGACCAAAACCCATGTATATTTGCGTGCAATGCCACGCAAAAATATAATTGCAACCCTGTTTTAGCCGTCATTTTATATAAAGACATTTACGTTTGTTTTAAATAGATTTTATAATTTCTACTTAAATTATAAAAACTTGTTACAGTTTCTTTGTTGAAAATTTATGCAGATGGTGCGCCAATTCACAATAGCCATGCATAATAGTTATTCACAATAAATTGTGACGACGACGAAAGCTTGGCTAAGGATATACAAGGTACTGAAAGTTCCGGATAAAAACGTCGTGTTAAGAAATTCGATTAATGCATAATAAACGGCAAGAATTACGTTTTAGCTGCCTTTACTTAACTAACTGAACACAAATTCTAGAGGAAATATTGTTGAATCAAAGCTAAGAAGTTACAAAATGCCAAAAATTTCTTGTGTGGCAGGCAATTTGTAATTGCGTCAAGAGGAGCAGTTCATTTGTTATATCGGGTACTATCAGCAGCGAAATATGTGTGAAGTAATGTTAAGAAAATATCCATGTTTTTTGGCCCTACTTCGCTTCATGTCACTGTAGCAAAACAATCTCAGAACGGTTCCAACAAAATGGAGAATATTTAGGTAGTACCTAAAAAAGCGAAGTCTAGAAACTAAGGCCGATTGAGAGGTAATGAGCGTTAGTAAAATGAGAGATGAAAGGGACCAAAGACGTTCAAGCCTTCAAAGGAAAGAGCTATTTAGCAACTATGAGAATATCGGACACTGCCCTAAAAAGGCTAGCTGACGGAAGTCCGAAAAAATGAAAACTTTTTATTATTAAAACATAATTATTGGTTTCGGAGGATGGAGTCATGTGTAGAAGTTCACACACTTGAGGAAAGTTCACTGATTGCCATACTTTCGGGAGTGGCCAGAAACGATTCCTTTACATATGACTTAAGAAGCTCACGACTTCCAACTCTAGACGAAGTATCCTCTGGATAGACAAAGAACATCCGTTTGAAGACAAAACACCCTCCGCAGAGCTGTGCGCTGGGTTTGGGACCCGCCCCGTAAAAAAACATACCCAATGAAAAATATTAACCAGGCAGGAATGAGAGACTCCCCTTTTGATGTCGACGATGGTAAACGAATTAAGGATTATGATTTGAGGGCATCGTTGATGTCCTCGTTAGAGTGAAGGCTGACTTCACCGCCGTCCAAGAAATGCGATGTACGGGATAAGGACTGAGGCGCGTAGGTCCTTGTGGCATTTACTACAGTGGATATATAAAAGAGCGCAAATTCAGTGTGGGATTCGTGGTGGGAGAGAGACTCCGTCGCTGAGTGCTGTCATTCACCCAGTTGGATGAACGTCTAGCCAAAATTCGCATAAAAGCGAAGTTCTTCAACGTATCCCTACAGAAAAAAAAGACGATGTGATCACAGATGCCTTCTATGAGCGCTTGGAGCGCACCTATGATAGTTGCCCCCGCCACGATGTTAAAATCGAGATTAGCGACTTTAACGCCAGGATTGGCAAGAAAGGTATCTTTGGCAAAACAGTCAGTAAATTCAGCCTCAACGAGAAAACATACCCAAATGGGTTGAAGCTGACCGACTTCGCCGGGGCCCGAAATATGGTTATCTGTAGTACCAGATTCCAGCATGTAAAAAAGCTACCTGGCTGTCTCCGGATCGAAAAGCCACCAACCAGATCCATCAAGTTGTGATATATGGAAGACACGTCTCCAGTGTCGTAGACGTGCGTACGTTCCGAGGTTCTAACATCGACTAGGACCACTATCTTGTTGCAGCCAATACCTGAGACAGACATGTAGTAACAATACCATAGTAAAGGTACCATGGTATTCTGTTTACTACGTTGGTGACACACATGCCAATGTAGTAAACTCGAATACTAGCTTTGTTTCATATGCATTAGATATTTCAAAAAAATTGTAAACAATAAATATGTTGTTTTATGCTATGGAGAAAATAACTTCAATTGTTTAAAATACTCTAAGTTAATATATTTTCATCGCAAAAAAGCGATTTGGCTCTAAAGTCCACACAAAAAATGAGCATTTCCTGCTTTTCCGAAAGAAAAATTGTGAAAAATGTTTTGTTTTACATTTCAATAATAAATTTTTTAAGTCATTTTGACAGAATATTTCGAAGAGCTTTTGTGTAAAAGCTTTTAGTAAAGTTTGTTACCTGTTTTTTAGCTGTGGCGAAAAGTGGAGATACAAATACCACAATGAAACATCGTAGTATTGTTACCAGCCAAATACTACATTGCTCATATGGTATTTTGCTAGTATTTGGTGACACACATATGGTGTTTGTACCATATATGGTTATTGTTACATGTCCGTCTCAGGTACAAGATACGCCGCTGTGCAGCAAAAAACCGCTCATCAACAAACACAACGAATGTTCGACGTCGAAAAGCTGCAATCAAAATAGACAGCCTGCTCCCTGAGAGCACTCGGTCTAAGGGAACTGTGGGACGGCATTTTATGTTCCATACGTACAGCTGTAAATGAAACTTCTGGTTTTCGGAAAAGACAAAAGAACAACTGGTATCACAAGGCGTGCCGTGTTGCAGCGAAGAGAAAACAGACTATCTACGCATCGCATCGTTACGATTGACCACAACACGTGCGAGATGGGATAGATACCGAAAGTTGAAGAGGGAAGCGAGACACAATTGTAGACAAAAAAGTGACAGAGTAATTCTCAAAAATTCTTCGAAAGGCTGCGGCAACTAACAGAATCTTCTCTTCTTCTTCCTCTTAATTGGCGTAGACACCGCTTACTCGATTACAGCGCGCCAGTCGTTTCTTCTTTTCGCTACCTGACGCCAATTGGATATTCCAAGCGTAGCCAGATCTTTCTCCACCTGGTCCTTCCAACGGAGTGGAGGTCTTCCTCTTCCTATGCTTCTCCCGGCGGGTACTGCGCCGAATACTTTCAGAGCTGGAGTGTTTTCGTCCATTCGGACAACATGACCTAACCAGCGTAGCCGCTGTCTTTTAATTCGCTGAACTATGTTAATGTCGTCATATATCTCGTACAGCTCATCGTTCCATCGAACCATAGGACCATAAATCTGTCGCAGAACTTTTCTCTCAAAAACTCGCAACGTCGACTCATCAGTTGTTGTCATCGTCCAAGCCTCTGCATCATATAGCAGGGCGGGTATCATTAGTGTCTTATAGGGTTTGGTTTTTGTTTGTCGAGAGAGAGCTTTGCTTCTCAATTGGCCACTCAGTCCGAAGTAGCACCTGTTGGCAAGAGTTACGTTGGATTTCCAGGCTGACATTGTTGGTGGTGTTTACGCTGGTTCCAAGATAGACGAAATTATCTACGACTTCAAAGTTATGACTGTCAACAGTAACGTGAGAGCCAAGTCGCGGGTGCGACGACTGTTTGTTTGATGACAGGAGATATTTCGTCTTGTCCAGTCTGGAGAAAGCAGAACTAACGGCGTGGGTGGTGAGGCCGATGATATCAATATGGCATACGCCAGCAGCTGTACACTCTTATAGAAGATTGTATCTTCTCTATTTAGTTCTGCAGCTCTAGTTATTTTCTCCAGAAGCAGGTTGAAGAAATCGCACGATGGGGAGTCGCCTTGTCTGAAACCTCGTTTAGTATCGAACGGCTCGGAGAGGTCCTCCCCGATTCTTACGGAGCTTTTGGTGTTGCTCAACGTCACTTTACATAGCCGTATTAATTTTGAGGTGATACCAAATGCAGACATCGCGGCATAAAGGCAGCTCCTTTTCGTGCTGTCGAAAGCAGCTCTGAAATCGATGAAGAGGTGGTCTTTTCCACGATTTGGCGCATGGCGAATATCTGGTCGGTTGTTGATTTGCCAGATCAGCCACACTGATAAGGTCCAATCAGTTTGTTGACGGTGGGCTTTAATCTTTTACAAAATACGCTCGATAGAACCTTATATGCGATGCTGAGGAAGCTAATCCCACTGTAGTTGGCGCAGATTGTGGGTTCTCCTTTTTTGAGGATTGGGCATAGCACACTTAAATTCCAATCGTTGGGCATGCTTTCGTCCGACCATATTTTACAAAGAGCTGATGCATGCTCCTTATCAGTTCTTTGCTGCCGTGTTTGAATAGCTCGGCCGGCAATCCATCGGCCCCCGCCGCTTTGTTGTTCTTCAGGCGGGTAATTGCTATTCGAACTTCTTTATGGTAGGGCAGTGGAACATCTGCTCCATCGTCATCGATTGGGGAATCGGGTTCGCCTTCTCCTGGGGTTGTGCGTTCACTGCCATTCAGCATACTGGAGAAGTGTTCCCTCCTCAATTTA